TGCTCTAATGCCACTCTTACTAGTTACTACTCAGTGTAAGAGGGAGCCACCGTGGCTCTGTTTTGAACGTTTGTGGGGACCAGGCTTCTCCAATCTGCCTGCAGCAACCTCCTGTGATGACCTGCTAACGTGTGGCCATACACCTCCCAGTTTCAGCTTCTGTTTTCTACTAGGCTCTCTGTGTGCTCCAGCGAGTTTCCTTGGCTTTTGGGGGGCTTTCCAATTCTCAGTTCTGTTACATGACTGTTGCAGCTCCCCACTTCCTCCTGAATGGAGTTGATAATCTTGCAGGTTATGGCTGTTGTAGTTTGGCTTCATCTGTGCTGTGGTCTGTGGGATAGTTTGTGAGGGATAGTTTGTGACCTGGGTTTTTTGTTTTTTTTTTAATTTGTCTGTTTGGGCTTTTTTCTTTTATGGGGTGTGTGTGTGTGTGTGTGTGTGTGTTGGTAAATGGTATTAATGAGTTTTTGGCTTTGCTATATAGTTGCTCTGTTTGTTTTGATGTGAGGATTTGGAAAGATTCAAAGATCATGCCACCACTACCCCAGTTTTCCCAAAACAAACAATGAACTCTAATCATGTTAAGAACATAAAATTTTCTAAAATTTATTGTTTCTCTTAATAAATCTCTTTCAAAGAGATTTTTCAGAGTTGTCTTGTTCTTTTTAAAAATGGCATTTGAAATATGATGGCTTGTTTTTGTAATGCTGTGTCCTACATCCACCTTCATATGACCCTTTTCTTACGTGCAAACAATATCTTTACATAGATATCCTGTAATTTTCATCCTTTCTCACTCCCTCCCTTTCTTCCTTCCTCTCTTAAACCAAAACAAAGATGAATAAAAGGGTTGTCTGTGTTTTCAATTATTGAATTATATCCAAGAGGAATTGCAGCAGATGGTGTTCAAGCCCCACCTATATCCGTCACCCTCATCACTTTGGTGCACTTTGCCCTAATTCTAGTTGCCAACACCAGCACTTATTTGCTTATGAGCTTTCCATGGCCACCAGAGCCTGCATGGTCTACCTGAGCAGCAGGCTAGAGGTGCTGCTGCCCCTCATGGGAGCAGTCCTTAACTAATTCATGCTGATGTATATGGTAGACAGAAAACCAGCACACTCAAAGATATCCAGGTCCTAACCCCCCAAATATATGAAAATATTACCTTTTGTGGCAGAAGTATTTCTGCAGATGTAACTAAGTTAATGATCTTGAAGTGAAAGATAATCCTGGATTACTCAGGCAAACCCAATATCATATGAGTCATTAAAAATGGAAGAGGAAAGTCATAAGCCGAGAGAAATTTGAATATGCTGTGCTGCTGGCTTTGGAGATGGAGAAAGGAGACACCAGCCAAGCACCACAGATGGCCACTAACAGCTCAAAAAGGAAGGAAACAAATCCCCCAGATGTGGCCCATGATTTTAACACCTTGATTTTAGCCAAGTAGGACAGTTTGTACTTCTGACCTCCAAAACTGTAAGATAATAACGTTGCGTTCTTTTAATTCACAGTAGTTTTGGCAATTTGTTATAGGAGCAATAGGAAACTAATGAAATGGCTAAATGTCCCAAGTTTCCTCAATTCTTCCTCAATTCTGTTTATTTTATTTTATTTTTTCCTCAATTCTGTTTAATGTTGGCTCCCAGAGTTCCCAGAGGTGGGTGGGGATTCAGTGGTTTATCCACAGTGGTAACTTGCTAGGAAACAAACCATTTATTAGCTTCCTTCCCTTTCCTGTTTTTTTACTCCCCTACTATGTTGGGAACACCTGTGAATAAATTTGCTTGCACTTGAGTCCTTGAATTGGGACTTGATTAAGGGGGAACCCAATCTGAAACAGAACTTGAGACGGCTTTGGTGAGAGACTGATGTAAGTACTTGTTCAAATTCTTCAAGTTTGGATTGAAGGAGAAGGGACTTTTGTAATTGTTACAAATTTTTATCACTTCCAAGATGCAGTAGTGCAGAGGCCTTGAGAAGCAAGGTAGAAGTTTGAAACTCAGGTGGTCACAAAACATACTCCCTATCTTTGTTATAGATCAGTGGTTCTCAACCTTCTGGCCCTTTAAATACAGTTCCTCATGTTGTGACCCAACCATAAAATTATTTTCGTTGCTACTTCATAACTGTAATGTTGCTACTGTTATGAATCATAATGTAAATATCTGATATGCAGGATGGTCTTAGGCGACCCCTGTGAAAGGGTCATTCGACTGCCAAAGGGGTTGCGACCCACAGGTTGAGAACCGCTGTTATAGAGCCTTTGGCGAGTGTTAAGGGTTATGTCTATTGAGTGATTCTTCAGTAGTCAGGATAAGACTATGGAATTCCATTCATAGGCCCCCACTGCCACAAGGGGCAATGACTTTTAGGAGGAAATTTCAGCAGATAATACAGATTGGCTGACTCTACACCAGGGTTTCTTGACCTTGACACCATAGATTTTTTGGGCTGGATAATTTTGTTGTTGTGAGGTCTGTTCTGGGCAGGATATTCAGCAGCATCCCAGAATTCACTCTATTCACTAGATACTATTATCACCCTCACCCAAGTTTTGACAACCACAAATATCTCCAAACATTGTTAAATATCCCCAAAGGACAAAGCACCCTTTGGTGAGAGCCACTCCTCTGTATAATACTGTAATGGTGAATAAATGTCATTATACATTTGTCAAAACCCATAGAAAGGTCCTGGCTGGTGTGGTTAATAGATCATCAGCCTGCACACCAAAGGGTCGCAGGTTTGATTCCCCATCAAGGGCATGTACCTGAATTACAGGTTTGACCCCCATCCCCGGTTGGGGTGCATACGGAAGGCAACCAATGGATGTATCTCTCTCACATAGATGTTTCTCTCTCCACCTTTCTCTCTTTCTCTCTCTCTCTTTTCTTTTTCTCTCTTTCTCTTCCTCCCTTGCTCCTTTTCACTCCTTAAAAGTCAATGGGAAAAAATCCTCAGATGAGGATTAAAACAACAACAACATAGAAAGTACAACACCAAGAATGAACGCTAATGTAAGCTATGGACTTTGTGTGATAATGACACGTCAGTGCTGGTTTGTCTGTTGTAACAATGGTACTACTATGGTGCAGACTGTTGACTGTAAGAGGGGCTGTGCTTGTGTGGGCAAAAGGAATATATAGGAACTCTGTATTTTTTGCTCAAGTTTGTTGTGAACCCAAAACTACTATAAAAATCATTTATTTAAAAAATCAACTGCTTCCCTTCACCAACAGTGGTAACTCTAAAACTGTAGCCTTAAAAGGAAATAAGTTTTTTAAAAAATAATTTTATTGAATTTATTGGAATAACATTGGTTAATAAAATGATATAGGTTTCTAGTGTACAATTCTATAATACATCATCTGTATATTGCATTGTGTGTTCATGACCCAAAGTCAAGTTTCCTTCAGTCTCCATTTATCCCCCCTTTTACCCTCTTCTACCTCCCTCCACCCTCCTTTTGGTAGCAGCCCAGGTGCCCATCAGTAGATGAGTGGATTAAAAAACTATGGTACATTTACTACTCAGCTATAAAAAAGAAGGAAATCTTACTTTTTGCAACAGAATGGATGGACCTGGGAAATGTTATGCTAAGTGAAATAAGCCAGTCAGAGGAAGACAAATACCATATGATTTCATTTTTATGTGAAATCCAATGAACAATATAAACAAACAAACAAAACAGAAATAGACTCATAGACAGAGAACAAACTAACAGCAGTGGGGAGAGGGGTTGGAGGCTGGGTGAAAAAGGTGAAGGGATTAAGCAAAAACAAAAAAACAAACACCCTCCCCCCCCAAAAAAAAATCCTCCCAAACACAGACAACAATATGGTGATTACCAGAAGGAGATGTTTCTGACCTCAAGTTTTTTTCAAACAAGTTCCTTAAGAGTTATTTGCCTGATAATTGGACTTAGCACATTGATAAATATCAGATTAAGAATGACTTTCCCATCCACTCTTCTTTCAAATAGTCTCAAGATAGCTATCATTAAATGGGAGTTGGAGAATGGGCAGAGCATAGTGGCCAGTTAGTAGGTTCTCTGGGTTAAAAATCCATGATGATATAAGTTCCTTAACTGTGGTTATTTGTGCATGAAATTTACTAAAAATAATAAAAATACAACCTACTAAGTTTTTGAGGGAACCTCAAGACTACCTTATTATAGCCTGTAACTGTTAACCACCAAACACTGTAGCTGGACCCCAACTTGCACAAACAGAGAGTAGAGGGATAAAGCTGTGCACCCCCCGAAGTCATCCTCTCCAATTCCCACCTCAGCTCTGGTCATAAAGAAAAAAATGACCAGTGTAGTGGAGGCTATGATGCACTATCCAGATTTCTCCAGCTCCTGGGAGTGTTCCTGGCTGTCGGGCTTGCCTGTGAATTTGCTGAAGAGAAGTACTTACCAAAGGACATACCACCTTCCCTGGAGAGAGACAATGACCGGTCAACATCTACACTAATAAAAGCCGAGGTGGTCCTCGCGCATGACGTCATCACAAAATGGTCGGATGGCTGCCACAAAGATGGCCAGTTGTGGGCGATCGGGCCAGCAGGGGAGGGCAGTTGTGGGCAATCAGGCCGCAGGGGAGGACTTTGGATAAGCTAGCAAGGTGAGATATGTTATTATCCCTTTTGGAGAGAGGAGCATGTTCCCCATAGATATTTAGGTGGATAAAGAGAGTGGTGGATGTGGTAAAGACAGTTTTGGCACTTCTTTCAATAATAGAACCTCAAAATTTGAATGGGCATTTTTTTCTGCCTGTATAGAAGATTTTATTTCCCAGTCTTCCTTGCAGGAAGGTATGGTCATATAATTAAGTCATAGTCAATATGCTGTAAGTGGAAGTTTGGTACTGGATTTCCAAAAGATTTTTAAGAGGTCTCACTCATGCCCAAGATCTATTCCTTTCACCTTCTGCCTCTTTTAGAGCCTGCAACTCAGATATGGTGACTGGAGCTGACGTCATCCATCTTGGACCATGGATCCAGAGAGGGATGTCAGAGGTAAGATAGTGAAGAAAAAGACAGAAGGAGACAGGGTTGTTGATAAATAAGGAGTCACAATATTAGCCCTGTCCTGCGTCCCTCTAAACCTCTTTTGCATGTGAAGGAAACGATGTTAAATTTTATTTATGCCATCACTATTTTGGATTTTTCCACTCTATACAATTGAACTTAATCTAAACTGATAAAGAATTCAAATGATATAATCCTAAAATATCCCCTTGATCTGTCATCACTCCTCCAAGGGGAGGGGAGGGATATGCTGACTGGTGTCCTTTATGGTTATTAGGTACACTAAGCCTCACAGGAGGTTAACTAGGCCCTGGAACGTCATAGCTACCTATGGTCCAGCCTTACCCACACTATTTTAAAAGCAATCCCATGAAATTTCAAGAGTGATACAGGTTTCCTCTTTCATATTATAGAATATTTATTGGGCATTAAACATTTTGACATTTCCTGGGAATTTGTATGTTGGAGAGCAAAATAACACCACTCATTACCTTTCTATTGCCACTGTAACAAATTACCACAATCTCAGTGGCTTTAAACAACGCCAATTAATTCTCTTACAGTTCTAGATATCAGAAATCCAAAATGAATCTTACAAGGCTAAAATCAAGATGTCAGCAGAGCTGGTTCCTTCTGGTGGCTCCAAGGGGAGCATCCATTCCTTGTATCTTCCAGCTTCTACAGGTTGACGGCATCCTTGACTTATGGTCACATCACTTCAGTCACTACTTCTGTTGTTACATTGCTTTCTCTGACCCGCTCTGTGTCCCTCTTATAAGGATCATTGCATTAGTTCAGCTGCCCCTCCTTGATAATCAAGGATAATGTCTCCATCTCAAAATTCTTAATTTAACCAAATCTGCAAAGTAGCTTTTGCCTTATAAGGTAGCAGGGCTTTCAGGATTTAGAAAGTAAACATATCTGGGAGGCTTTTATTCAGCCTACTATACTCATCTAAACATCTTGGTTAAAATTATCCAGGGAAGTTTTATTCTAATTTAAAAGTAATAGAAATTGTTAGATATGATTGCTTTATACAAGGCAACTTCTATAAATCAAAAACTACTATTAAAATGTTAAAAGGCAAAACTCTTCCACTATTTCCTGAAATATAACAGGCATGGTGACAAGAGTTTAATATATTCAAATATAAAATATTAAATTTTTAAAAATAGACAGAAAACCACTAAGACTCTAATATCTTGATAAGCAATTAATTGTGCATGAATAACAATTCACAAATGATAAACACCCTAAAATCTAGAATAAATTGAATGTTTTACTTTTTAAATTATGATGATCATATCAAGGTATAACTAATGATGTAGTTAACCGTATCTGGATATTTTTGAAACTTGCCTCTAGGAATACACATTGATCTTTCTTGGAAGTTATGTAGCTCTAGGTATAAAGAAAGCTAAAAATGTTCATATCTTCAACCCAGTAATTCCACTTTTGGGAAATCATCCAAAATGCAACAGAGCAAAAATGTTCAACTTTATGTGAAAAAGTGGAAAAACCTAAATGTCCTATAATAGGAAAATGGCTAAATAAATAGTGCTATAATTATAAGCTGGGATATATTATTCCGCTATATAAGTATATGTCACTGGAGAATATTCTTTCTAAATAACTTGTAGAAATGCCTGTAAGGGCAGAGAGAGCAATCCTACAAGGCCATTGAGCAGACAGCTAAAAATCTGCTCAAAGGTTAGGAGAACAGGCCTTCCCCAGGCCTGGGCTTTCCGAGTTCCCTTTCAAAGCATTATATTTGGCAATTTAAATATATAATTATTTGGGTTATAAATACTGATTCCAACCAGCATTAAGGGATAAGTAAGACCAAAATTTGGTCAGTTGCCATTGGCATGACTCTACCAGATGTTAAAATATGAAATATGAATTTCTGAACTGGTTGATGAATGGTAACTGGTTGCTGCCCTGAGCCCTCAGGTACTCCCTGCTTCCCTAGTCTCATTTTTTAAAAAATATGATTTTATTGATTTCAGAGAGAGTAAGGGAGAAGGATAGAGAGAGAAACATCAATGATGAGAGAGAATCATTGATCGGCTGCCTCCTGAATGCCCCCTTCTGGGATGGAGTCCACAACCAGGAGCTGAACCATGACCTCCCAGTTCCATAGGTCAATGTCCAACCACTGAGCCACACCAGGACCCCTTTACTTCCAGCCGGGCAGGTCCCTTCATTATTGAGCAACTAAAATGACAGGCACTATGTACAATATCATGTCATCTGTGAATAATGAGAGTTTTACTTCCTCCTTCCCAATTTGGATGCCTTTTATTTCGTCTTCTTGTATGATCAATATGGCCAGGACTTCCAGAACCATGTTGAATAAGAGTGGTGAAAGAGAGCATCCTTGTTTTGTTCCTGTCCTTAGGGGAAATGGTTTTAGTTTTTGCCCACTGAGTATGATGTTGGCTGTAGGTTTGTCATATATGATCTTTATTATGTTAAGATATGCTCCCTGTATTCCCACTTTGTTTTTATAAAATTTGGATTTTGTTGAATGCTTTTTCTGCATCTATTGATATGATCATGTGATTTTTGTCTTGCAACCTGTTTATGTGATGTATCACATTTGTTGACTTGCAAATATTGTACCAGCCTTGCATCCCCAGAATAAATCCCACTTGGTCATGACGTATGATCTTCTTAATGTATTGCTGGATCTGGTTTGCTAAAATTTTGTTGAGGATTTTAGCATCTATGTTCATCAGAGATATTGGCCTGTAGTTCTCTTTCTTTGTTGTGCCTTTATCTGATTTTGGAATTAGGGTGATGCTGGCCTCATAAAAAGAGTTTGGAAGTATTCCTTCCTCTTGAATTTTTTGGAATAGTTTGAGGAGTAGAGATGTTAGTTTTTCTTTGAATATTTGGTAAAACTCCCCTGTGAATCCGTCTGGACTTTAGTTTGCTGGGAGTTTTTTTTTTAATTATTATAACTGCTTCAATTTCATCATTGTACATAGAAAACCCTAAAGACGCTATAAAAAAAAACTACTAGATTTAATAAATGAATTTGGAAACATAGCAGGATACAAAATTAACACCCCAAAATCCATAGCATCTTTATACACCAATAGTGAACTCCCAGAGAGAGAAACTAAAAAAAAAATCCCATTTACCATTGCAACAAAAAAATTAAGATAAACTTAACCTGTGCTCTGAAAACTACAGGACATTGAAAAAAAGAGATAGAGGAAAGTATAAACAAGTGGAAGAATATACCATGTTCATCGATTGGTAGAATCAACATCATTAAAACGTCTATAGTGCCCAACGCAACTATAGATTCAATGCAATCCCCATTAAAATACCAACAGCATATTTCACAGACCTAGGACACACACTCCAAAAATTTATGTGAAACCAAAAAAAGACTCCAAATAGCTCCAGATATCTTGAGAAAGAACAAAATTGGAGGAATCACAATACCAGATATCAAGTTATACTACAAAGCCACTATACTCAAAACAGCCTGGTACTGGCACAAGAAAAGGCATATAGATCAATGGAACAGAACAGAGAACCCAGAAATCGACCCAAACCACTATGCTCAATTAATCCTATATAATAAAAAGCTAATATGCAAATCAACCGAACAGCAGAACAACCAGTCACTACAATCACACTGACCACCAGGGGGCCGACACTCAAAGCAGGAGGTGCCCCCTGGTGGTCAATGTGCTGCTACAGGGGGAACACTGCTCAGCCAGAATCCCGACTCACAGCTGGTGAGTGCAGTGGTGGTGGCGGGAGCCTCTCCTGCCTCCATGGCAGTGCTAAGGATGTCCGACTGATAGCTTAGGCCCTCTCCCTGTTAGTCAGACATCCCTTGAGGGCTCCTGGACTGTGAAAGGGTGCAGGCCAGGCTGAGTGACACCCCTCAAGTGCACAAATTCTGTGTACCGGGCCTTGAGTATTTGATAAAAGAGGCAAGAGCACACATTGAAGCAGAGACAGTCTCTTCAATAAATGGTATTGGGAAAATTGGACAGGTACATTCAAAAAATGAAACTAGACCATCAACTTACACCATACACAAGAATAAATTCAAAATAAATAAAAGACTTAAGTATAAGATGTGAAATCATAAAAGTCCTAGAAGAAACCACAGGCACCAAAATCTCAGACATCTCTTGTAGCAATATGTTTACCAATACATCTCCTAAGATAATGGAAACTAAGGAGAAAATAAACAAATGGAACTGCATGAAATAAAAAGCTTCTGCACTGCAAAAGAAAGCATCATCAAAATAACAAGAGAGCCCACTGCATGGGAGAACTTATTTTCCAATGATACATCTGATAAAGGGTTAATTTCCAAAATATATGAGGAACTCATACAACTTAACAAAAGAAAGGCAAACAATCCAATTTAAAAATGGGCAAAGGATCTAAATAGACACTTCTCTAAAGTGGACATACAGAAGGCCGAGAGACATATAAAAACATGCTCAAAGTCACTAATCATCTGAGAGATGTAAATCAAAACAACAATGAGTTATCACTTCACACCTTCAGAATGGCTATCATCAACAAATCAACCAAGGACAAGTGTTGGGGAGGTTGTGGAGAAAAGGGAACCCTCATGCACTGCTGGTGGGAATGCAGACTGGTGCAGCCACTGTGGAAAACAGTATGAAGTTTCCTCAAAAAATTAAAAAGAGAACCCCCATTTGATCCAGTTATCCCACTTCTACGAATATATCCTAAGAAACTTGAAATACTCATCAGAAAGAATATATGCACACCTATGTTCACAGCAGCACAATTTACAATAGCTACAACTTGGAAACAGCCTTAAGTGCCCATCAACAGATAAGTGGATAAAAAAGCTGTGGTACATTTACACAGTGGAATACCACAAGCAATAAAAAAGAAAGAACTCTTACCATTTGCAACAGCATGGATGGACCTAGAGAGTATTATGCTGAGAGAAATAAGCCAGTCAGAGAAAGGTA